TATAATATATAATATTAATGTTATATATTATAATATTATTATACAATGATATATAATATTTTTAATATATTATACATTAATATGTTTATAATATATTTATAATATTATATAATAATATATAATATTTTTAATATATTATACATTAATATGTTTATAATATATTTATAATATATTATTTAATAATATATAATATTTTTAATATATTATACATTAAAAATTTCATATTTTAAATTTTGTAAAATATTATATAAAAAAATTATATATTTTAAATTTAATATATTATGTGTATTATAATATATTTAATATATTAATATATTACACATAATTATAATACTATATATAATTATTGCCAATATCTTTTGACTTTTTGAATAACGATGCATTTTGGTAAAAGTTGGCAAGTTATCAGTCGTTTAAGTAAAAAAATATAAGGGGAAAAACCTTGAGCTGGTCAAGGTTCGCGTAAAAACACGCGATTTCAAAGGGAAAATCCATTGCTCTAAGGCTAGACACGCGAACGTTCCATTAAACTGTAGAAGCAGTTTCTTATCTGGCTATTTCGATGTTGCTCCCGTTCGCATTTCGTGGCAACTATTTACCTTAACATTGTTTCGTAGAAGATTTTATTCGAATGTATTACAATGTTGAGTAGATTGGCGTACAGATTTACATTCAGAAGTTCAGAAATATTTTTTGAAAGTAACAGAATTATTTTTGATTTACATTTAGAAGTTCAGAAATATTTTGAGCAAGTAACAGAATTATTTTTGAGAAAATTACAAAAGGAAAGAAAAGAGATTAGTTCTTTAGATGCTTAGAGATTTGAAAATTTAACGCTGAGAATGAGAAAAATATAACAGATTGAGAATGAATATTATTGTAGCGTGGAGCAGATCGGTGGCTTGCTGCTGTCTTTCAACGTTAATGAAATTCAAGTTAGATTCGTTCATTCAAGATAGAGTTGTTTCAAAGTTAGATTGGTAGGATTGAGAAATGTAAATTGTCGTAAGAGGAAGATTGACAAAATTTGAGTGAGTTTGATAGTTGAACCTTAACCTGTCGTGCGTTGTTGGGTCTGACTGTCGTTTTTTCTTGTACGTTGGTCTTATATAGCTGGATTCTATGGTTTAGGGAGGTATTATGTTAGTTGCTTCAGATGTGAGTGAGGTCAGTCCCAGAACGTAGTATCTGCACTTCCTAACGGTTCCAGGATGTGTCCCTCGCAATATGGATTTATGAGTTTGGATTTATGGATGTCGTAAAAGAGTTGCGGTAAAGTCCTTCATCGAGCCTTAAAATTGAGCGTCGAGCATGACGAATTGGTAGTCCGTTGTGACTACAATAGAAGATGCAAAGTAACGAAGGAGATGAAATATGGTCACGGGAGATCCCTGCCGTCGAGAAATTAGAAATTGGAAAATTGCTTTCCCTAGCTCGATGAGTTTGTCCTTCGCGGTGCGAATCCCGCCTCCTTTGTGTTCGGTAAGGCCGAACAATTATAATACATTGTAGTGTACAACCATTTTGAATGAGTAAAATCTCCAATGAGTAAACTAATAATTTAAAGGATAATTTATGGTATAAACTGTAAATTTATTTATATAATATTAAAATCTTATTTGTAAAAATGAGATATAATAATTAAATTAGTAATAAATATATGTATAACATATTAATAATTAAATATATATATATAAGGAATTAGGCGAAATAAATATATATACACCTGTTTATCAAAAACATGTCTTACTGAAAATAATTTTAAGTCAATCTGTCCAATGAATAATTCAATGGCTGCAGTATAATTGTCTGTGCAAAGGTAGCACAATACGTATAATATTTTAATACATGCTTTAACGAAAAGATTAATTTATGTGTAATGAAATATATAACCATGGATTGCAAAGGCAAATCAACTCGGTCTAATTTTAAACGTTTAAAAAGAGAAGAGTAGACAACACGAAGAAGTCAGGAAGAGACTTATAATAGATGTTGCATCAATAGATCGATAGATCGGCAGGAAAGCAAGGGAACAACATTGTGCGTCGTGGTGGTAGTCATTGGCTCACTGACAAAAATTCCCTTGGTGAGTCGAACGCTTCATGGCTCGGTGAAAAAGTGGTTAAATTTAGCGCATGTACGTCGCGTAAATATACGGGTAAACCACTGAAAACTAGCAACGTTGTTCGCGAAATCGACGGATCTCTGTGAATCACGTGTTCATAGATTTTCACCAGGCAAATAACCCCGTTTCACCGATCTACGTGCCTTCAACGCGTTCTCAAAGCATATCTCGACAATTTTACTGACAAATTATCAGCGCTTCTGATCGATTATCGATTAAGCTAATCAGAAGTCTATCTCTCTTTATTTTCAATAAAACATTACGTTTAGTTGGACATTTGCAATTTTTATTTTTATTGCATACGAAGTAGTAATAGTTTTTTGATTATTTACGCAGTAAAAAGTTGAACGACGTCTGACGTTTAATCAGATTTCGGATTTTCACGAAAATCTCCAGTATGCATGTCAATTGCAATGATATGGAAAGAATTTATTACAATGTTTAATATCAAGCTGAATCTTCACCGAAGTTCTACTCGATTAATTACAGCTACAGAAATATAACTCTGCTGTCTATTAATAATTAACTGGCAACTTTTTGATAAATAGCACGCCATACGCTCTTGCTATCGGATGATGAAGGAACGCGATGTTGCACGATGTTTGAAGATTAATTTAGAAGTCTATTGTAGTCTGGTACAGCCAGACAGGATGATTTATTGTTAGATTGCTATATGTACCTGCTAGAATGATCCTAAACGAAATTATAATTCATAACATGTCTAAATTCCCGACCCTCTAAAAAAATCTCCAATTTAATCCCTTAAATCAAACGACTTTCAAAATCGCGAATTGAAAAAATTGGATTCTCTCGAATTTCCCGACCCTTTAATTAATTTCTACATTCAAGTTTGTTGTCCCAGGTTCGCCACGTGGCACCATGTGCGCCGAAAATCGGTTTCCACGAATGTCGGAGAATGTTCAAGAGAATGTTTACGCGACAATCGCGTTTCGAACGCGAGAGATCATCGGCGAGGAGAAGCGAGATCGTGTCAACGACCGAGAGTGAAGGCAAGTTCTTCTGCCTAGCACGGCCAGTTTCATGCCGAACTGTTCTATACGAGTCGAGTTTAGGCCGCACCCAGAGCAACGCCTTCCGGTGCGAACCTTTTGTCGCCGGAACCGGCCGATACTTGCTTCTTTCAACTCGCGACGATAGATAACGCGCGAAAGATACTCACAGCGAGCCGCGAGGAAGCTAAGTTTCATTCTGAATAAATTCTAGATTCTAGCATTGCTCTGCTGCTGTTTGGAAATTAGAATGGACCTTTTATTTTCTGACTCTAGAATTAGAATTACAACGTTTTAGACATGCTTCTTATACTTGTATGATTTATGCGAATGTAGTCAAAAAAATTGAAATTTCGTTCAATGAATATTGTAGTAAATCTTCTACCCCGAATGTTTTACCCATCTTGTGCAATTCGACAATTTCAAAATTCCTACAAATAGATTTCTCTTTTCTATTTTTACACGTTTACACAAAACAGTAAAATAACTTGTACTCTGTAAAATTAGAATTTCAGAAGAATTTAAATCCGTGACTGCTATCATTTTACTTCGATCACGCGAAAGAATCCAAGATTACTCGATCATAGATTCGAACTAAAGTAACTACAATGTACATTTTTCAGCTTCACTCTTTCTCAGTTTCAGTAGAAAATTTCCCAATATGATACAATGTTAGCGAAATTGCACATAGGATTACAGATAGAGAGTTTAATTCTAAAATCACAGAGATAAACGATCCTTATTGCAAATCATTCTGAACCTTACACAATGAATAAACCAAGGTTCACTTGACCATTTGCAGCTGATTGCGGACCATAACGAGTGACCAAACCTTATACAATAATTCGTCGCTTTCTTTTAGAAATTACTGCGAAGTAATAAATTCATCATTCGTTTTGCCTGTAGCGTGCCGTCTTTCAACGTTGATGAAAGTCAGCTGATTCAAGATAGAGTTGTTTCAAAGTTAGATTGGTAGGATTGAAAAATGTAAATTGTCATAAGAGGAAGATTGATAAAATTTGAGTCAGTTAGTCGAACCTTGACCTGTCGTACGTCGTTGGGTTGCTCCGAAATTTGTGTGCGTTGTCAAAATACTGACTGTCATTTTTTCTTGTACGTTGGTCTTATATAGCTGGATTCTATGGTTTAAGGAGGTATGTTAGTTGCTCAGATGTGAGTGAGATCAGTCCCAGGACGTAGTATCTGCACTTCCTAACGGTTCCAGGATGTGTCCCTCGCAATATGGATTTATGAGTTAGGATTTATGGATAAAAAAGTTGCGATAAAGTCCTTCATCGAGCCTTAAAATTGAGTGTCGAGCATGACACTCAACTTTAGAACTGGTAGTCCGGTGTGACTACAATAGAAGATGCAAAGTAACGAAGGACATGAAATATGGTCACGGGAGATCCCTGGACGTCGAGAAATTAGAAATTGGAAAATTGCTTTCCCTAGCTCGATGAGTTTGTCCTTCGCGGTGCGAACCCTGCCTTCTTTGTGTTCGGTAAGGCCGAACACCTGCGTTATATTTAAATATATACTTGAACTGAGAAAATTGCAATTTTTGGGACAAAAAATTCACGCTAAGGAGTTAATCACAGAAATTAAGAATAAAAAATGACCCGATGCTAAACCTTGAGAATGCTTCATTGCATTCTAAAGCTCGCACTTTAACGAATAAATTCCACGTCCGCGAGTCATTACGAATTCCTCGCTGCTATCTCGTTATTTTCGTTCTCAACTAAACCACCGCACCCTCCGGTTAGAATGATTTATCACGACCTTCACGAGAAGTTGAAGATGAACGGAACCGCGCGAGTGTTTGCCAAATGTGTGAGTGGAGATTTTTGTGTGGTTAAACTCACCCTTGCTGCGGCGACGCTTTTCTCAGCGGAGACGCCGTCGAGTTCGACACGCGCCCTGGCCGCCGTCGCGGCGCTTTGCTCTTTGTACGAGACGTCGCCAGCTAGCAAAGCTCTCATCTCGGCGCTATTCGCCGTCGCCTTTTCAGCGCTGAAACCGTCCGTGACAACCTGAAATTCATTTAGAAACCGGAGATTAGCAAATGTTCGCACATCTCACGACAGTTATTTGAGTTATTTAACCTTGGGAACGTTAAAATCCGATCTAACTCGAAATTAAAGCACGTAAAATAGTGGAAGTCGCAGGAACTATCGAAGTATTTTATTTTCTGTTGCACTTTATTTTTGTTGGTATGTAAAACTTCTCTATCGAACTTTATTTCTTTAAATTATATTTAAATTTTAAATTATATTTAAATTACATTTAAACTTTATTTCTTTAAATTATATTCCTGACACGAATAAATTATATTCTATAACACGAATTTGCAAGCCTGGTTATGAAACGCTGTTAGTCTAGCAACTGGAATTATGATAATTAACATGAGATAACAAGCGTCTTTCACGTGTTTCGTAGAAAATTATAGCTATCAAGTTGTCAACATATATGACATATTTTCTTTTTATTATTTGTCACGCCATTAACAGCCCATTTTTAAAATCAGGTCGTTTTTTAAATTCTTGATCGATTTTTAAATTCAAAGAGAGAGACATGGAGATTCACTTGAAAAAAATTCACGAGTGAAATTTCGTTCAAGATACATAAATGACACAAGAGGAAAAAAAAAAAAAATAAAATAAAATGAAAGAACCAAGTAACAGTTTATGTTGTAAATACCTCAATTGTTTCAAATTTTATAAAATTATATAATCCAAAAAGACAATGATAAGCAAAATTTGTAATTTTCTTTCGTGATCTCGATATAAAGGAACAAAAATCTAGTGATATAAATTGACTAAAACAGAGTACAAAATAAATAATACTGCGTTAAACGTTGGCCCTTAATATCACGAGGTCACCGTTTACACCAAGTTTAAGAAACACTATGACGGAAGTGATGTTAAAGATAGAAAGCGGAAAGAACTCAGCTGTCGGGATTAAAAATAACCAACACGAAACTCCGTATTGTAAACTTCATGTTGCGAAAAAGGAAAGAAAAGAATTCTCGTTGACCTAAATGAAAGATCTTCGAAAATTTCCATAAAGATGAAAGAAAAGTACCTTAAGAAAGAGAGAGAGAAAAAAAAAAGAAAAAGAAAAATGAAGAGAGCTCGGAGGATAATACGCAAGTTTCTCAAGACATATGTAGGTAGCGAATGGGTACGACAGCTTGGCTAGAGAAGTTACCTAGAGATAGACTCAAAGTCCTTGACCCAGACAACCTAGAGGAAACCGCACCTCCGGCCAAACGTTGCGCAGCTTCGCGAACTCCGAAGAGACATTGATTATTTCACGCGTAATTTCGAACGGGAAACGATTCGATTCCAAATCTAATCTTCCGTCAATAAATCGTGGCAATTAAGCTCACGAGTTTGAAACCTCGAGGGCCTTCGAAGAGGCTTGCAATAAATTGATCGTGAGACGTTGAAGGATTTAAAACGTTGTCACGTACATTGTGATTTTGCAACATTTTTTAACTGACAAGTATAATTTAAAGTAAGGCCTATTTTCACGAAATTGTCTATTGAACATTTATTACGGTTTGAATACTTTCACTCTTTTTAATTGTCACTGTATAGTTCCCTAAATATCTGTTGCACTTGGAAAAATCAAACTACTTCATTTGTTTCAAACGCTATGTCCTAATTTTTAAAGCTCCTTTGATCAACAGTTAGCTAGTAGAAATCAATTGATTCTCGAACAAATCATTTTCATTCTCAAATTACTCTCTCTGTTTTCCTTTCAATTTCCAAATCTAATAACGACTAACACTATTAACGAAATGTCACAAATCACGAGTTACAAGCTATCACGATAATCTCGACGATAAACTAAATATAATTACACGTACAAACGTTACAACTCAACGAAGGGTATTCAACTCCGCGTGAAATAATTCATAATTTCAACATTATCAATTGACGATAAATTATCGCGAGGAAAATCTTTTCGTCAATCGAGTTTGCAAAACGGACGCCACATCAAACGCCTTACCTTGGTCTTGGAAGCGCTCGTCATTTTCTTTTGCTCGAATTTCATCGTTTCCTGTCCAGCAGGTAGGTTCGGTATGTTCGAGATGTTCGACATGCTGATCGGCGGGCTCATGCTGTGAAGATTGTTTAACGAATTCAGAGAGCTCAATTGCGAGGGTGATCCACCAGTCAACGTGACCGTTCCGGTGGCAGGTGGCGGTGTATCTGGATCCGGAAACGTCACCAACGGCTCGGTCAAGTCACCCTCTTCCGTTCCGTTTCCATCCCTGCGAGCAGCGAAAAAAGAAATTTCGATTTAGCGAGGATTGAGGAGATCTTTCGTATTTACGCGAGCACGAGGACAGCGAGAGAGAAGCTTTGAAAATAATCGCGTTGCACGCGGCTAAAAACGGGAATTTATAAATAACGCGGTGGACGTGACTTCGCTGATTACGAGAGAAAAATCGCGTCTAGTAGGAGTGACACGATTCGTGAAATCTTGATCGATAGATTTGGTTCTTCTTCTTTTTTTTTTTTTTTTTATTTTTATTTTGCGTGAAGATTTAGTTCACTTTAACTTTGATAAAATTTGCGAGTTGGCGGAATAAACATTTAGTCAGGCTTTTGACAGTTAAGTGACCGTTCTTTGTGAGCTGTGTACTATATACGCTATATAATATGAGAAAATAGTATTTTCAAATTTGTAAATTGTTTTAAAACTCTTGACAGTTAGGTGTTCTTGGTAGGCTATCAGTTGAAGCGTTTTGTGCTCCATAGTATACGAGAAACTGATGTTTTCAAATTTACGTTGGAAATATTCTAGATTAATGTTTCACAGTTTTCTCTTTAAAATATTAACTTTACGATCGATCTCTTTTCAAGTTAGATTCGAATTTATTTAAGAACTGATTCTCTGCAAACTTTTTTAAATAACTGTCAACCATCTAAATGTTTCACAATTTGTCACAACGCGTCTCTTTTCAAATATTTTAATACTTATCGACCTTCAGTCTTTCAACTGTCAAGACAAGTATCACAAAATTTACACTAAGAGAAAATTCAACATTCACAACAGTCGCGACATCATCTGTTGCAATCCTTAATTTTTCCAAATTGTCATCGATCGATCAAAAACACGAACGAAACAGATAACGAAAATTTCACGAATAACTTTCACAATAAACGCAGAGTGATCACTTGCACGTGTACTAAAAGAAAAGTTTACGAAAAGCACGATACGAATCTAAAACAAATACACGGAGCGAGAATGAATCTGGCAAACCAACCTGTCCACGAGGTTCTCCATGCTGCTACGCAATCGTTGCGAAAAATTCGTCGAGATATTGTTCTTCATTTCGGATATGCCGCGCTGTAGTTCTCTCAGATCGCTCTTCATCGAGCTTGCTTTCATCTCACTCGACGAGGACGATGTGAGAATCCTCTGCGAGGATTTGGCCACCCTGCTCGAGCTGCTGCTGCTGCTCTGGCTCTGGTTCGTCGTCAGCATCTGCCGAGTCAAAAGCCGTTTACGTTCTATTTAAAATCCACGTGAGATGACTCACTCTTGCATACAGTCTCTTTCCCTCTCTATCTCTCTCTTCCACTTGATCATTCTCTCAAAGCGCATCTTTGCTTTCGGTTTTTCACGCGAATCGTTCCTTCCTGTCAACTAATTTTCACGGACCTTTTCGGTTTGTGTTGTACAAACTTTGCAACGACTCGCGATGTTTTCAACGAGGCGTTGTAATTGTGTACAGTGAACTTGAACAGTTCTTGATAATTATGTAATTTTGGCGATCTGGTTTGTTTCGTGGAATTTTGGTGTTCGGGTGACTAAAATTTAAGTTTGGCCCCTGTACTCAGAATTTTCGGAGCTTTGGGAATTTATTATCATGGAAAAACTTTAAGCAGAAAATTTTGTGCACAGGAAATTTTTTTATAGAGGAAATTCCGCATAGTGAAAATTTTATAAAGAACATTTTCTGTGGAGAAAATTTTATATGAAGATTATTTTACGTTTTCTTTATTTTATTATCTTTCATAGAGATATTTTATATAATTTATATAATTTTATTAAATAATTAAAAAAGCTGTCTGTGACAAAATCTACGGAGTACAAACTTACTTTGCTTCCGAAGGAATGCGTGAGAGAGAGAGAGAGAGAGAGAGAGAGAGAGAGAGAGAGAGAGAGAGAGAGAGAGAGAGAGAGAGAGAGAGAGAGAAAAGAAAACGATTTGGTTATGACGACTTGCAAGAATTCTATCTATGCTCGCTTAAAAACAAATTATGTAATGTAAGCCAACATCCTCGAGATTCAGTTGAGCAAGAAGGAGGACGACGATTCGAAGAAAACAAGCTTTGATTCTGCTGCAATTCTTTTTTGAATTATTAAAAAAGTTGCTATCTCGATCTCGACGAAAGAACAAGTTAATTAAAATAACTATCAAACTTTGATATTTTTGAAGAAAATAATAGTTACAAAATTACAAAACTGAGAAGTAAAATCGCACGTGTCGACAACTTCTTTTCCTACATTTTTTTTAAACCTAAGAAAACTTTAGAAAAGGCAGAAAAATGTGTACAATTAGAATGACCCAAATATAGTACCGAGTAAGAAAAATACGAGAAGATCCAAGAAACTTTCGAACGATGGAAAGACAATTGAACCTACAATTGAGTAAGAAAAATACGAGAGAAAAAGAGGCAAAATCATTGTCTAAAACGATCAGAACGAAGCTGAGCTGGTAAATATCCAAAAAAGGGCGCAACGTCTGCCAAAACACGCTGAAAGTCTTATAGAGGCAAACGTTTGAACAAGGAAAGAAATTCTGAAAGAGTGGAAGCCTTGAGAACTGACAACCTTGACGTTTCCGGACCTGGAAGTATGTGTTTGGTTTAGATTAAAAAAATTCACGTGGGCGACAATTACGTAAGGTCGGAAGCATGCGTACAGACGTGAATATTTTTATAGAGTCAAAGAATTTTTAGCGAGGAATAATCAGGAAGGCTGGTTTTTAATGTGAAAGTTTGAAATGGTTGTGATTATAATTTCTGGAGATTTAGATTTTAGAAAATACAGTGACAGTTATGATAATAGTGGGAATAATATTGAAAAATAGAGTTTAGATTCAAATTTAATTTTAAATGACTTAGTATCTGCATCGAAGCTTGGAAGTTCTGCTAAAATTGAAATTTTACTTATGAATTGAAAAATCGATTATTTAATGTGAATTTTTGTACTGAAGATTGAACAATTGAATGGAATTTGAAATTCCATTTTAAGATTCAATTCTTCTGAATCCTTTTGAATATCCCATCAGTTTCTGGCCAGACAACAAACTGAATTACTTGACTTGTGAAAATTTCCAAATTAATTAAATTAAAACTAAAAATGTCTAAATAACTACCTATTCAACAAAATGCAGCCTAATTCTGATTCAACCACGAAACAAAGACACAGTGATAAACGTCGAAACTAGACCGACAGAAAAATCCGTGAAAAATGAATCGAGGCATAATTAAAAGATGTTTCGAATGTTTCGATGATAAGGGCGGTAGTAAAACACGTATCGTTGTATAATCTAGTCCACTTCGAGGACGCAATCACGCTTCCAGATCTTCAATCTAGAATTAAATAAACTAGAATTTCCCTTACTTCCGATCAAACTTTCCTCTACGTTTCTCTAAATTTTCTCCTTCAAACGTTTTATTAACTTTTTTACCCTTAAAGAAAGTACCAAAATTTCTCTTGAAGAAGTACCAAAATTTTACGAGGGTTCAACGTTTCCTGCGTGCACCATCGGCTGCCAACAACCGATTTTGCTGTTTATTGCGACTGGCAATCGATAACAACTATTTTAGTTGCATTTGCATACAATTTTAGCCCTAGTTTCATAAAGAACGAAATTATAAATAGTCGCGACGAAAACGTGAATAATTCGTGAATTTCCCATCGGCTGTGACGAAATGGCTAATTCGGGGAGTGTCGTGTGGTCTCTTTTTGGATGAACATGTACTCGATTGGGTGTCTATGAAATAAACAGAATATCGTGAGAAAAGCCTGACGTGTAGTTTGAACAAACGAAAAGCGGACTTTGAGTAGACTGAGGATGTTTATGAAAATTCAAAGAAACGGAACTCTGCGCGTTGTCACGTGCATTTTACGTTATTACGTGCATTTTTGTACAATTTCCCATGAATGGATAAAAATCCGCTATCAAAAGTTTGCCGTTACCGACGTATATTTTCATCATTCATAACACTGCCTTTTTCATTTTTCCACATTTTTTTTCAACTTTCTGAACACATTACGTCTACGTGTTATGAACAATCATATTAGCTACGTTAATTAATACTGCTAACATTGATGTTGCAGTTTAATTTTACGTCAACATGGACAAAATCGATTACAATTAACAACGACAAGTGCGACATAAAACCATTTCTGATGATCTGAGTTTTCGTCACGTGAAACTCGAACGACACCTCAGCTTCTCATTTATCTCTCAGCTTCTATTGCGATTCTCAAAAATGATTTCCCAGAATTTCAGCGAAAACTGTGGTGTCAGTGTCTAGGGGTCGTTCTGGCCACGTGGCGGACAGCGTTTGGTGAAAAGTGGCGCCGATTTAATTTTGGAAACTAATTTTTCGGGAAATTCGAGAAATTCAGCGCGAGCGTGGGACGTCGCGACGCTCTAGTGCCGAATTAGAGGTCGTTCTTCGTCACAATCTCGAAATAGAGAGAGTTTGATGGCAGTTTGTTAAGTCATTCTCGGGAGGCTCGATTTTGGAGCAAGCTTCTTTCCCCCTACCCTCCTGAAAGAGTTGGAGCGATCGAAACGCAGCCGTTGGATCAGAGTTTTGCCAGCTCTTGGCAGAGAAGCACGAACATTAATCGGTTTGATCTGTACAGTGGAAAGTTATGGTTATATTTAGAAATTCTGAGTAATTAACCGGTAATTAACCGATAATCCGGTGAGTTTGAAACAGCCAGCCATTTCGTTCAATTTTTTATGTTTTAAGTGAAAAATTGGATTCACTTGACGTTTACGCGAACATTTCAGCGTTTATGGGAAATTTATGTAAAAATACCAACATGTTTGTAAGATAATTTGTTGCAAACTGTTTCGTATAAGAGATGAGTGTTTAATAATAATATGTAACGAACGTAGACATTTGCAGTTTATTTGTAATATTTAGAGGACTGTTTTTTTTATGTCAATAAGTTGCAAATTGTTAATTAATAAAACGCAGTGTCTATTAATGACAGTATTATATATATCTTCAAGTATTTATGTTTCATTTTTTTATTATGTTATATGTAACTCTGTTTTGTGTGAGAGCCATTTCTTTACGATGTAAAGATGTACAATAATTTTATCTTTAAAAATTTACCTGCGACGACGAAGTGACCTGTGGATGCTGGGTGACATGACTCCTTCCGGTCACCATGTTGTTCTTCTTGTGGAAATTCTCCATGACCGTGTGCATGTCACCGTTTTCCGCTCCCTCCACTGGAAACTCCGACATCTACAACGATAAACCAGCTGGTTAATTCATCTTAACTTTCACTCAAGGTTCGTGTATCATTTTCGACATATTTATTTTATCCTACTTTCCAATTTGACATCAGCTCAAAAGTTCTGTCAATAATCTACAACAATATGAGCCTCTCCATTTTAATACTTGTTGCAAATTTCTCAATTTTAATACACGTGTACATTTTGATGCGTGTATTAAATGTTCAATTTTCAGAAAACTATCTATTTTCATCTGTTTATTTGTTACAAGATAAATTTCAAAGATAGTGTTTGTAGTATCATTACTTTTTTTGTGTACATTTCATTGTGTGGCTCATGTAACATGTAATAGTCACCACTTAAACATAAATATGCGGTATTAAAAATTGATTGACTGCGGTTTTCGACTGTATGATAATACATAGAATGCATGAATGATAATCATTGCTTAGACATAAATTTGCGGTAATAAGAATCCGTTGACAGCGACAGTGACAAATGTAACTAGACTACTACAGTCTGTAGTGACACGGACTGATTTTACTTTAGGAACAATACTCTTGATATATTCATAACCAATCTATTTAAATACATAGCTGTGCATTTCTAAACGAGTCACATTTCTATCGAACAAAGCAGTATTCCAACGTTAATTTTCATTTCAATTTGTCGTGCACAAGTACTACCATTCACTGCACGTCAAGCGGTGTACAAATGATCGACCAGCGAGGCTCGTCGCGACTGTAAGTAAGGCGAACCGCTACCACCCACGTGTTCGTTCATAATTGTACCCAGTCGATCCACCAGCTGATCCCGGATCTTGAAAATTCGTTGAAAAGCGGTCGACCTTTCTCGCTTCATTAATTGGCGCGCGTTCAACTAACACGCTGAAAAACTATTATGGAGAGGAGGCTTGCGTTTCTCCTCTGCAAGAAGAGAAGAGAATGCAAGATTACAGAAAGTCCAATAAACAAGATGCAAATACCGTTTTTATTTTTAGAACCCGGAGCTGGACGACGCGGCCGGAGAAATGCAGAACCGCAGTTGAAAAGAGAGAGAGAGAGAGAGAAGAATAAGAAAAAAATAATCGAAGACGCTTCTGTGTACGTCTCGCGAGCACACACGGACGCTTCTGGGGAAAAAGACACGCGCGATATGCGGGTCTCGCAACACGTCTGTTACGTAAATGGAACCTTGTGGTCAACGGAACCGAAGGAAACACGTTCGCATACCGCCTCGCGCTCGTGTGTCAACACGCTGGCATACACGAGCCGAGAGTGGCTCGTTTAAAAAAATCTCTTATGGCAATGTAAACAGTGTGTACTCGCGTTCAGTGCGCGAGCAAACTGAAAGTATACGCGCACCTCCTATATACCGACAAGCGGTCGCACGAGTGAGAAAGTGATTTGGTATTAATTCACGAGACCTGTCAGGGTCTTAGCGTAACATCAACTCCGAAGACTATAACGGAGAGTATGCAAATTAGCAAAGATAATAGAGAAGAGTTCACTATCTGATCGCGAAGAACTAGCATTGATGAGCTAAGCAGATCGAGTCGTGGCCATTCGATATTAACCTCTTGCGCTGAACGTTTTCTCAGTTTTAAGTGTAACCCGGGCAAAGCAAATGATAAGTTCATTATTTCTTAATAATTTCTATAATAATCCAGCGACATGTCACGCCGACGAGTTCAAAAGAAAAAGAAAACGACGAATCCATTGTATATAGGCTCGGTCACTCGTTATGGTCCGCGAACCAGTTGCCAAGCGCAAGGGGTTAAAGAAAAAGGAAGGTTAGGAATTTAAAGAGCGTGAATGGCCAAGAGAGGCTGACTAACCGTTTGACAGTTCAACGAGGGCACGCACACTTCCTCTTGCAACCTACTCCTCTTCGTTATCTTCTTCTCTGCTTATCACCGCGTTCTTATCGTTCCGACAACCTCGACCGACACGTATTCGGAGCATCCCGATGCGATTCCCCGATCCGGGGACACTAGCTTCGCACGGAACAACGCTCGTACGATTGTCACGTGTCATCGTTAGTCGCCGTTTCGGATCGGTACTCGCAAACGATGCCCTTTCATCACGAGGTTACGCAACGATGACTTTTTCCTTTTTCATTCGATCCGTCACTTATCGAACGACGATCGATCATGATACTCGATGACATGAAAAAAGGGGGATTGGATTTAGGTTTGGTTTACGAACAGGATAACGAAAGGGGCACGCGAACACAACCAGACGTACAAGCATCGCGCGATGGTCGCACTCGTACTGAGCGATCGTGTCGCGCTGATGGCGCGAGAGCCGCGACTGCAGCGCCCCCACCACCCCGCCGCGGCGACCCCGCGAACTTACGAATTCCGCATAGCGAGGCACGCACGTGAGAAAAAGCCTCGAATTAAGAACGAAAACCAGGTCGTACGTCGGCATTCTAGGAAAAAGCGGTGAACTAAATACGAACGATTAACGAAGACGTTACGTTTACTATTACACGGCGAGCGTAACGAAATAAACGAACGCGTCGGGTTTTTTTTTTGGTAATTGCTGTCTGGTGTTTCCCTAGGAGAGGCGACCCCTTCCATTCCTCTTGATGATGTCGCTTTTTTTTTTTTTCGTGAAGGGGCAGTTTCGTATACAATTAGAATTAAATTGGAATGGAAAATAATATAGATTCGTAATTTCGCGAATGACACATTTTTGGAAATTTGAACAACTCGTCTTGTAGAAGACTCTTTCTTTTTTTTTTTAGTAGAGGCTTCAAAATGGCAAGTCGCTTTTCACTGAAGTTTTAATAAATTTGCTGCAGCAAACGTTTTTACATATCTGAACTGTAATATCCTTTCGCAATCGTTTCATTATTAATATTATTTTAATTAGCACTGAACTTTTACACAACGCTGAATATATATAGAACTTTTATAAAAGTTTTGTAAATTTAAATACTTCGTTTCCAATGTACTGGAATTTAAAAATCATTACACGGCATAGAACACTGTTAACGACAATGAACGTCAATATTCGAAACTTCCAACTTAAAACGAATGGCGCCATTTTATGAATGGACCAAAGAACAACCAAAAAGCAAAGATCGTAACGACGTATTTATCTTATTGGTCATGTTTCAGTTTCCTCTTTACACGAGATAAACGGCCGTGCATAATGCGAAGACCGAAAGTTTTTTTCGTCATGCTAAAACGACACGAGACAAAAAAGTTTCGCGATGTTCCGAGAATCGAGTTATCGTCGTCCCAGTTTTACATTCGCCCCCGTTTCATCGGAGGGGTAGCGGAGCAACACCGTTTAATGGGATCGAAAAATCGATCGATTTTATGGGTCGAGTTCTATGAATCTCTGATGTCAATTGAAACTCCAACCGAAGGGTAAAATTCAATTCATGAACTTGCTTGCTTGTTTATGCCGAGCGTAATAGGTTCCTCAATGAATAAGAATAGCCGCATAGAAATTGTCGTGTACACTGGGTGTCTCATAAATGAGATTCGAAAGCATTAAACGACAGCTGAATTTTTAAAGGATAGAAATTTCAAAAATACCGCGTCAATTAATTATTGGACTGTGGGAAATTTAAATGTGAAAATGTCTGCGTAAAATAGGCAAAGATATTTAAATTAAAGCACCAACAGTATTTAGAGGATGAGATTTATGGAAATCTGCACTTGCATAAATATCTATAACAACGAATTACATTCACATTCTGAAAATTTATTATAAATGCTTTTCTATTAATAGGAATCACTAGTTACTTAGATATTAAATTTGAGGTTATTTATTAAAGAACTGACTGATAACTTTCGCCTAATTGTTGGAGAAAGATCGTACTACTTGCGTATCACAATCTGATAGAATCATACCATGAAAGAAAAAAGAAAAATTGCAAAAATTACACCACACTCTGGTAAAGCTTTCGGATTATTTGCCAAACTGCCTGAAGTTTTCTTTTGAAATGCAACTCGGTGTATCCATCACCGATCTATTTTCAGTCTGTCTATAAAACAAACGTGCCTAGAGGCGACTCGTGACAGCCCTTGACTGATTTATGTTTAGAAAGAACATTGGTTCTCTCTTATCTGCCGTTCTCGACTCAGAGCGCAGGCAATGTCTAAGAATTCAGGTCAGAATTTTCGGCTATCGTGATAATGAACGGAGCTACTGAACGAAATTGTGGGAATGTGCGAGTCATTGTTCAGGGCAAGGATTATGGTACACGAAGCTCTACCGAGATTTGGCCTCTCTAGAGAAAGAAATTTGGAGGCTGCTATAAAAGTGATCGGACACTTTTCAAGTTTCAGAAAAACAAAGATGACTATAGTACGTTTTAAAGAATTGATCTGCATACATACATTAATGTTAAAAAAAAAACGTCTGGAATACTCTGTCAATTCTGGATAAAATCATATTTTTGGCAGGTAAGACAGACACGCTTGTGACTTCGATTTAATATAAATAAATATAATTTCTGACAGTGAAAAAGGATTTAGGACATCAGGTCTATATCTTTATTTTATAAAACACAGAGAAATCAATGACTAAAGTAATCGTATGATCGACAAGTATATTAAATGGTTAACATTTACCATCGAGCACTTTATGAAACAAGAGAGTAGACGAATTCACCATCGACTCTAATAACCGCTATTAGTAAAAAAAAAAAAAAAAAAACCACTTTGATACGCGAAGCTTTCAAGCATATAAACCAATTACAATATTGATCCCAGAAAACGAGCAGAGAGTTCAAGAAGAAGTCAAGAATCAACCGCTGGACAACGAACCTCTTCACAAGCGGTATTATCGTCATTACCTCTCTCAAGCTCGGCAAACCAGAGCCCAATCCCGTAAGTCATCTTCGATCGGCTGTATAAGGAATCAGCGGCGATGAAGAAAGAGGCAAAAGAGAGGAGGGGAGAAAAAAAGTAAGCAGTTGGGCGATGGAAAAGAGGGACACAAAGACCGGAATGCGGTCTAACGAGGTGAACGTAAGAAAACTCCGACA